ATGGATTGACCTAATAGCCCTCTGAACTCCAGGCCCCTGTCCCTATCTTGCCTGAGTCTCATCTATCTTGGCTGGTGATTCAAGCTCCATAGTCTAGAGCTCATGCAGACTCAGGCTGGCCTCCTGCCAGGACTAGTGAAACTGACCACCTGATAGAGCCCACCTCCTATCTTCCCTCTGTGGGGGTCCACTCTGGGCAACGGCCTTCTCGTCCCCATGCCTTGGATCCAGAAGAGGTATCCAGTTGGTTGCAGAACTTCAGGCCTCAGCCCTGTTGCCTGCCCGTCATCCCCCTCCCCTGAGGCCTTCGTGGCTCTAGCCCCAGCACCCTACTCTCTTCCGTGTTGGGATATCCTACTAGCTAGACCTATGGAAGCTTCCAGAAGTGAGAGTCAAGTTGTCTGATATGTTAGCCAGCTGGCTCTTAAAACTCAGGTTCTTCTCATGGTTCCAAGCTGGTTTCTAAGCCAGAGCTCTGAGGGCTGTGACCTTAGTAGCAGGCAAGGTGGACCCAAAGTCCATTCTGCCACCATCAGCTAAGGACATCCATCCTTCCCTGGCCTGAGGCTCAGACTCCTGTTGGCCCAGCTTCTGGGCCTGTGAAGAAAGCCCCCTGCCTCTGACCTCATGTCACTGGTGATTTTTACAGGTATGCTCACCAGTTTTCTGCAGAGGCAACTTTTCCTTTTGTTACTTCTACCTAATATTAAAATTTTACACATACCTTCAGAAGTACAGAATGTAGAAAAGAGCCATTTTCTTAGCATCACTTGGTCACAGAGACTGGAAATGGTCCTTCTAAAGGGGTTAAAGAGTTAAGTAAAAGAATGTTGATGCCAGTGTGAATTGTGACCCATTCCAAGGCTGAAGCCTTCTTAGTTCTTGTAGGTTCTCCCCTGTTCTGCACCCAGTCCCAGCTGCCCCCTCCCACTGCCTCTTGTATTAAGGACCTCTGGCGTGTCACGGGGTGTGGAACAAGGCAGCAGAGAGCACTGGCCCAGGAGTCTGAGCACCTGTGTTCTCTGGGCCCGTCATTGTCTCTCGCAGCTCAGGGGCCCTGTGTGCAGAGTGAAGGGGTGGGCCTTTCGGCTCTCGGGCCTCCCTGACTCCATGATCTGGGCGGCCGATGGTGCTGATGTGTCCTGCCTGCTCCTGCCCCAGAGGCTGCCAGCAGGAGGGCCCTCTCCAGAGGAGTGCCAGGCCCTGCTCACAGGTACAGCCTGGGTGCTGACCCCAGGCAGGTGGTGCTGGCCCAGTGAGTCACCTAATGACACAGCAGTCACCTGACTGTCTCCCTCATCCTCCCCGCCCTCCTGCCTGGCCAGGGAATTGCTCCAAGCCCCAGCCTCTGGGCGCTTCCCCGCCCGCCTTTGTGGCTCAGTGAAGAGAGAAGCACCATGTAGGGTCCTCCTTGGCCAACTGTCACTCAGACTGATCACTCCCCACTCAGTCTTTCATCCATCGGGAGAAACAAAGCTCACCACTAGCTAGTATTTTGGGGGTACATTGAGACCCTTGCCTGAAAGGGTCAGTAGACATAGTAAGTAGAGTCAATGCTTTATTATCCACCCACAGCACCCAGGGGCCTCCTCCCCTCACACAGGTACAGCCAAGTCCAGGAGTCACAGACCAGCCCGAGCACAGTTCTCTGTCTACCCTGCAGGTGCTGGCTGCCTCATCTGACTTTTCCATGACTCGGCGCCTCTGCCCACATTAGCTTGGATAAGCAAGGCCTGGGGTCATGCCACCAGGATGGACTCCCCAACCTCAGTCTTCTCCCCATTTCTCCCATCCAGCAGCCACAGCCAGGTTAGGACATAAGTTGAAAGGCCCCCTTGACTGTTAAGCCTCCGGTCACCGCAGTCATTCCTCGCCAGGGATACAGCCACCTCCTGTGGGACCAAGCCGGTGCCTTCACAGAACAGGGAGCCATAGACTATGGTGCCCGATGTGCCACAGAACCATAGGCTGTGGTGCCCAGTTATTCACAGAGACGGGGATGAACTCTGGCCAGCGAGCGGGTGGCACAGGGTGGTTTGCCTTGGCCACCATCACTCTGCAGTCTTTAGGGAAAATCACCTTATTTCTCTAGGCCTCAGTCTCCTCATTTGTCAAGTAAGGGGATGGGACTAGATGCCCAGTCTTTAAGGATCCATAGGAGACTATGGTGTCAGTTTGGTCCTCATAGCAGAGATCAAAGTTTATGCCAGACTCCCAGATATGGCGCTTGTGCCTGCTTTGAATCACAAGGTAAATATTGATTGAAAGAGTAACCATTCGTTCTGGTTTGCCTGAGATGACGTGGTTTATTCATGTTGCTCCTCCAGAATGGTTAGTTGTACCCCTTTCACACTCCAAAGTGCCCTAGTTTGGATGACATCTTACATGGCCACCCTATTTACAGTAATATGATGAAATGAAGTTTCCCTGCCTTTCCCAGTTTCATCCTGCTTTGGGAGGATGCTCTCTACCTAGGTCAGAGGAGGCCTTTGACCACTCAAAGAATAGCCTGTGCTGAGTTGTGACCTTCCATTGAGGAAACTCAATTACTGCATTTGCTCAGTTCAGTTCAGTTGCTCAGTCGTGTCTGACTCTTTGCGACCCTATGGACTACAGCATGCCAGGCTTCCCTGTCCATCACCAACTCCTGGAGCTTACTCAAACTCATGTCCATCAAGTCAGTGACCCATCCAACCATCTCATTCTCTGTCGTCCCCTTCTCCTCTTGCCTTTAATCTTTCCCAGCATCAAGGGCTTTTCCAATGAGTTAGTTCTTCACATCAGGTGGCCAAAGTATTGGAGTTTCAGTGTCAGTGTCAGTACTTCCAATGAATATTCAGGACTGATTTCCTTTAAAATTGACTGGTCTGCTCTCCTTGCAGTCCAAGGGACTCTCGAGAGTCTTCTCCAACACCACAGTTAGAGAAAAAAAGCATCAATTCTTCGGTGCTCAGCTTTCTTTATAGTCCAACTCTCACATTCATGCATGACTACTGGAAAAACCATAGCTTTGACTAGATGGACCTTTCTTGACAAAGTAATGTCTCCTCATTTCAATATGCTGTCTAGGTTGGTCATAGCATTTGCTAGAGGGATGTTATTGGAAGACATAGGTGATCTCATGCATCATCCTCTGCCCCTGTCTGAAGTACCACATGAAAAAGTTCTTTTCAAGTAATGCTTTGCCTCCTGTAAGGAACTTACATATTTTCTTCTTCTCTGGCTATAATGACCCTACAATGGACCATATCTCCCTTTTCTCCTTGGCTGCCCAGAGTCTCAGATATCAGTGTATAGCTGAACTAGGGAAGCACTGTAAGCCCTTGTGATTGTTATATCAGTGCTCTTTCCATCTCACCAGTCCTGACCTCCTGCCTTATATACACTTTCCTTTGTTCTGATTTGTCATTCTTATTTACAGATTTTTTAATCTGGATTTATAGCTTGTCATTCTTTTAAAAATATTTATAAAATTTTATTATAGTGATATTGAAGTTTTTATAGAACCAAGATGAAAATGAAAGAAAAAAGGAATAAATTTCTAGAATATACTTTTTAGCTAGTTGTTGAACTCCCTGCCCTTCCATGGCATGTCAATATGTCTGAGGTCCTGCCATTTGAGCAACCATTATTTGAGTCTTTCAGAGTATTCTGTGAAAGTAGAAAGTGGGAACTTTTTAAGACTGCATCAGCAAACACCCAATGAAAATTAAGGTGAGGTCATGAAGGGTGCCTGCGATCAGTATGCCAGGGGCAGAGCACACCTACAGGAGAGGGAAGAAGGCTATAGAGACACTGGTCACTCTCTCAGACCCTCACCCAGGGTATGGACACCTGCGAGGTGGCTGGGGAATAAAATCTGGCAGTAGGGAGCCTGGATTCAAGTGCAGGCCCTATCTCTTAAGCACATAGGACCGTAACAGGCCACCCTCCCCCTGCAGTCCTTAGTTTCATCCACTGGAAAGTAAGATGGCTGGCGGGACAAAGTTCACAGTGACGTCCAGCTTTGAAGTCCTGTCTGTGCTCTTGGGGAAAAGGGCCCTGCAATGCCCTCAGAGCCCAGGAAGCCTTGGCTTCCCAACTTTCAGCTGACCCTGGCAGGGCAGACATACTTGGGGCTCCACTCTGACCAGCTTTGCCCCTCAGTTTGACAAAGACCTCTATTCTGAGCCCCTTCTAGGGTATCCCTAGGCCACTGACTGGACAAAAAAAGGCTGGAAAGTGGAGGAAGCTTCCAGAATGACCTTCCAGGTATTGCTTAGTGGCTCTGGTGGTCACCCTGTGTTAGACTGTGAACCACCGCAGGGATGGTGGTTTTAGCTTTTTCATTAAACACCAGGCTTGGGAGGTAGGTTAGCAACAGTTTGCAAAGCCATAAGCCTGGATACCTTCAGAATTCAGGGCTAGAGAGAGAGAGAAATACTAACCTGAGAACAGTCCCTGTCATAGAAAGCTCATCTCCAGATAACCGACCAGCTCCAACTCTTGCACTGGCCACGGGACCAGCTGGCATTTATCCAGTGGCGTCCATGTCCATTTTCATGTTGGATGCACTGCAGCTCGAGATGGAGTTGAGCCAGGAATTGCTATTATTTCATAGATATTATTTCATTTCATAGGTGATGCAACTGAGGCTTAGGGAGCTGAAACCATTCAGAGGGGCTCTCTGAGCAGAGACTGGAATCCAAGCCTGTCATCCCTGAGTGCCCCCATGGTTCCCAGAGTCTATTCTGCTCCTGACGCCCCACAGAGCCACAGTCTTCAGAACCACAGTGGACATTCAGAATCACCGGCACCTCTGGAAATGTGGGCAGAGGAGGTGCCAAGAGTGCTCTGGCGCACAGGGTCCGGGCTGTGGGTTTGGGTTGCGTCTCCCTGGTTGACCTTTAGGTATCACACCAGGTCTCATCGGAGCTGCATGAGCTGTGGATGAGTTGCAGTAACCCTCTCTTCTCTTCTCTTTGTGTGTGTATTTCTGTGTGTGTGCTTTGGTCAAGTAGAAGAGCGTGAATTCCTCTCCGTGACCATTCACCTCCAACACCAGACGAGAGGGCAGAAGAGTTGGAACGGAGCTGCCCACGGCATCCAGCGTGGCTTCTCTCGTGCCAGGACCAGGGATGCCTGGACCATGCTCACGGCCATCTCTAGCCGTCCACAGATCGCATAGCACACGGGGGACTTGTGGGGGGCCACTTGCCACTGCCAACTGAAACAATATGATGGCGACTCTGACATCCTTCATGACGTTTCCACAACAGACATTCAGGCAGAAAGTGCTGGTGCATTTTCTGTCTGTGAAGTAGAGGGCCATGCCTCACCAATGTGAATAGCCTGGGCCCTGATGACCTGACCTGAGTCCACTTGTAGCCAGTGACACTTGGAAAAAAAATTTTAAAAACTCCCCAAACCACCTTGGGTTTGACTTCCGTAGCTCTTGACCAATGTTACCCAAGCCAGACGCCTCCTTGGGACGTTTGGATTATTCATAAATGTGGCCTGCTCTGACCCTCCCTGAATAGCATCTGAAGTCCTGTGGAGGTCATGGATCCTGAACAAAGTGTCAAGGGCACCAAGAAGGCTGAGGGAAGTCCCCGGAAGCGGCTGACCAAAGGAGAGGCCATTCAGACCAGTGTCTCATCCAGCGCCCCGTACCCTGGCAGCAGCACGGCCGCCACTCAAGAGGGCCCCCTCCAAGAGCTACTAGCCCCGCAGCCCTTCCCTGGCCCCTCGTCGGTTCTTAGGGAAGGCTCTCAGGAGAAGACAGGCCAGCCGCAGAAACCCCCCAAGAGGTCCTCCATCGAAGCCTCGGTCCACATCTCCCAGCTTCCGCAGCACCCTCTGACACCAGCATTCATGTCGCCCGGCAAACCCGAGCATCTCCTGGAGGGGTCCGCATGGCAGCTGGTCGACCCCATGAGACCTGGACCCTCAGGCTCTTTTGTGACCCCTGGGCTCCATCCTCAAAGCCAGCTCCTCCCTTCGCATGCTTCCATCATTCCTCCCGAGGACCTGCCTGGCGTCCCCAAAGTCTTTGTGCCCCGCCCCTCCCAGGTCTCCTTGAAGCCCACGGAAGAGGCGCACAAGAAGGAGAGGAAACCACAGAAGCCCGGCAAGTACATATGCCAGTACTGCAGCCGGCCCTGTGCCAAGCCCAGCGTGCTCCAGAAACACATCCGCTCACACACAGGCGAGAGGCCCTACCCCTGCGGCCCCTGTGGCTTCTCCTTCAAGACCAAGAGTAACCTCTACAAGCACAGGAAGTCCCACGCCCACCGCATCAAAGCCGGCCTGGCCTCGGGAATGGGTGGCGAGATGTATCCCCCAGGGTTGGAGATGGAGAGGATCCCTGGGGAAGAGTTTGAGGAGCCCACCGAGGGAGAAAGCACCGACTCAGAAGAGGAGACGGGCACCACGTCCACACACCCCACAGAGCTCTCCCCGAGGCCCAAGCACCCACTCCTGTCCAGCAGTTTGTACAGCTCCGGGAGCCAGGGCTCCAGCCACGAACGCTGTTCCTTGTCCCAGTCCAGCTCAGCCCCATCGCTCGAGGACCCCGCTCCCTTTGCGGAACCCTCATCTGAACACCCCCTGAGCCATAAACCTGAAGACACCCACACGATAAAGCAGAAGCTGGCCCTTCGCTTGAGTGAGAGGAAGAAGGTGATCGACGAGCAGGCGTTCCTGAGCCCGGGCAGCAAAGGCAGCACCGAATCTGGGTATTTCTCACGCTCTGAGAGTGCTGAACAGCAGGTCAGCCCCCCAAACACCAATGCCAGGTCCTACGCCGAGATCATCTTTGGCAAATGCGGGAGGATCGGGCAGCGGACTGCCATGCTGACGGCCACCTCCACCCAGCCCCTCCTGCCCCTGTCCACCGAAGACAAGCCCAGCCTGGTGCCTCTGTCCGTGCCCCGGACGCAGGTGATTGAGCATATCACCAAACTCATCACCATCAATGAGGCCGTGGTGGACACCAGCGAGATAGACAGTGTGAAGCCCAGGAGGAGCTCGCTGTCGAGGCGGAGCAGCATGGAGTCACCCAAATCCAGCCTCTACCGGGAGCCACTGTCCTCCCACAGCGAGAAAGCGAAGCCCGAACAATCACTGCTGAGCCTCCAGCGCCCACCCAGCACCACCCCCCCTGTGCCTCTGCTGAGAAGCCACTCAATGCCTTCTGCCACCTGCACCCTCAGTACCCCCCACCACACCTTCCGAGGCAGCTACTCCTTCGACGACCACGTCGCCGACTCGGAAGCCCTGAGCCGCAGCAGTCAACTGTTTACCTCCCACCCCCGGATGCTCAAGCGCCAGCCGGCCATCGAACTACCTTTGGGCGGAGAGTACAGTTCTGAGGAGGCAGGGCCCAGCAGCAAAGACACAGCCTCCAAACCTGTAGATGAACCGGAACCCAGGGAAAGTGACCTCACCAAAAAGACCAAGAAGGGTTTGAAAACGAAAGGGGTGATCTATGAATGTAACATATGTGGTGCTCGGTACAAGAAAAGGGACAACTATGAGGCCCATAAAAAGTACTACTGCTCAGAGCTTCAGATGGCAAAGCCAGTCACCGTGGGTGCTCATGTGTCTCCGGAGGCCGAAAAGAGCCAGGCCGAGCATGAGCCCTGGTCCCAGATGATGCATTACAAACTGGGGACCACCTTGGAACTCACTCCACTGAGGAAAAGGAGGAAAGAGAAGAGCCTTGGGGATGAGGAGGAGCCGCCCGGCTTCGAGTCCACAAAGAGTCAGTTCGGCGGCCCTGGGCCTTCAGAGGCTGCTCGGAACCTTCCCTTGGAGTCCAGCAAGTCACCAGCAGAGCCGAGTAAGTCAGTGCCCTCCCTGGAGGGATCCGCAGGCTTCCAGCCAAGGACTCCTAAGCCAGGGTCCAGTTCAGAATCAGGGAAGGAGAGGAGAACCACCTCCAAAGAAATTTCTGTCATCCAGCACACCAGCTCCTTTGAGAAATCTGACTCTCTGGAGCAGCCTGGCGGTTTGGAAGGGGAAGACAAGTCTGCGGCCCCCTTCTCATCACCCCCTCCCGCCCCACATGGACGCTCGGCCCACTCCCTGCAGCCCAGGTTGGTCCGCCAGCCCAACATTCAGGTTCCCGAAATCCTGGTGACCGAGGAGCCTGACCGGCCAGACACAGAGCCGGAGCCGCCCCCGAAGGAGCCGGAGAAGACAGAGGAGTTCCAGTGGCCCCAGCGCAGCCAGACGCTTGCCCAGCTCCCAGCTGAGAAGCTGCCACCCAAGAAGAAGAGACTGCGCCTGGCAGAGATGGCCCAGTCATCGGGGGAGTCCAGTTTTGAGTCCTCCGTGCCTCTGTCTCGCAGCCCGAGCCAGGAGAGCAGTGTCTCACTGAGCGGGTCCAGCCGCTCTGCCTCCTTCGAGAGAGATGACCATGGAAAAGCTGAAGCTGCCGGGCCCTCGTCAGACACACGCTCCAAACCCTTGGGCACCCACATGCTGACCGTCCCCAGCCACCACCCGCATGCCCGTGAGATGCGGAGGTCAGCCTCAGAACAGAGCCCCAACGTCTCCCACTCCACCCACATGACCGAGACACGCAGCAAATCCTTCGACTACGGCAGCTTGTCCTTGACAGGCCCTTCGGCACCAACTCCAGCGGCTCCAGTGGCCTCGGCAGCCCCACCAGAGAGAAGAAAATGCTTTTTGGTGAGACAGGCTTCTCTGAGCAGGCCTCCTGAAACCGAGCCAGAGGCCACCCCCAAGGGAAGACAGGAGAGTGAGGAAGCGAAACCCTCATCCAGTAAATCTTTGGCCAAAGGCGCATTGCCCCAAGTTTCCTCTGCGGCCACCTCGCACAGCGGGCACCCGGGAGGCAAGAGCCAGGTGCAGGAGAGACCAGCGCTGGGGGCCACTCCGCCCTACACAGAAGCACTGCAGGTGTTCCCCCACCCCATTGCTCAGCTCCCGTTGCAGGAGAAACCCTACCTGCCCCCGCCTGTCTCCCTTTTCTCCTTCCAGCACCTCCTACAGCATGAGCCAGGACAGTCTTCAGAGTTCTTCCCCACCCAGGCCATGTCCAGCCTGCTCTCCACACCATACTCCATGCCCCCGCTTCCTCCCTCCTTATTTCAAGCCCCCCCACTTCCTATCCAACCTACTGTTCTACACCCAGGCCAACTCCACGTCCCCCAGCTCATGCCTCACCCAGCCAACATCCCATTCCGACAACCCCCTTCATTTCTCCCCATGCCTTACCCTGCCTCCTCAGCACTTTCTTCTGGGTTTTTCCTGCCTCTGCAATCCCAGTTCACCCTTCAGCTTCCCGGTGAAGTGGAAAGCCACGTGCCCCAGATCAAAACTAGCCTGGCCACACTGGCAACAGGAACCCCTGGCCTCTCCCCCAGCACAGAGTACAGCAGTGACATCCAGCTGCCCACTGTGGCTCCCCCGTCCAGCTGCTCAGCACCCACATCAGCTCCTCCGCTGGCCCTGCCTGCCTGTCCAGACACCATGGTGTCTCTAGTTGTGCCCGTCCGCATCCAGACCAACATGCCGTCGTATGGGAGTGCCATGTACACCACGCTCTCCCAGATCCTGGTTACCCAGTCCCAAGGCAGCTCAGCAACTGTGGCTCTTCCCAAGGAGGAGCCGTCACGCAAGGGGACGTCTGTGTGTGGGGCAGATGTCTACAAGGTCGGGCCCAGACTGGCTGGAGTAAGTGAAGAGCAGAGCAGAGGTTTCCCGACTCCATTCCTGAGAGTGCCTGTGACATTACCTGAAAGAAAAGGCACTTCCCTGGCATCGGAAAGTGTCTTGAGCCTGGAGGGGAGTTCATCAACAGTGGGAGGAAGCAAACGTGTCCTTTCACCAGCTGGCAGCCTTGAACTTACCATGGAAACCCAGCAGCAAAAAAGAGTGAAGGAAGAGGAGGCTTCTAAGGCAGATGAAAAATTTGAACTTGTGAAACCATGTAGCGTGGTGCTTAGCAGCACCGAGGATAGCAAGAGATCAGAGAAATCCCACTTGGGCAGCCAGGGCCAGGGCAGGAGGGAACTAGAAACACTCCCCAGCCTGTCCTCAGATCCATCTGACCCGAAGGAAATTCCTCCCCTTCCTCAGCCCTCATTGCCCCATGTGACAGCCTCAGGCTCAGAGGCTTTGAAGGAATATGCCCAACCATCTGGTAAACCTCACCGAAGAGGATTACTCCCATCAAGTGTGAAGAAAGAAGATTCCAAGGAACAAGCTGACCTCCCTCCACTGGCACCTCCCAGCTCACAACCTCTGTCAGAAACACCCCCCAGACCAGCCAAGTTGCAAGAAGGTACGGACTCAAAGAAGGTACTGCAGTTCCCCAGCCTCCACACAACCACTAATGTCAGTTGGTGCTATTTAAACTACATTAAGCCAAATCACATCCAGCATGCAGATAGGAGGTCCTCTGTTTACGCTGGTTGGTGCATAAGTTTGTACAACCCCAACCTTCCAGGGGTTTCCACTAAAGCTGCTTTGTCCCTCCTGAGGTCTAAGCAGAAGGTGAGCAAAGAGACATACACCATGGCCACAGCTCCACATCCGGAGACAGGAAGGCTTGTGCCATCCAGCTCCCGCAAGCCCCGCATGACAGAGGTGAGTTCAGTCTTGTTTTTCCTCTACTCACTGATTGTAAAAGCCTTTGCTGAGCTTTTAAAGCCACATTCTCCTCAAGGTCCATTTACAAAATGAGAGCCAGCCGAGTGGGCAGATTTCCTCTCTATCAGCTGTGACGGGCCACCTTATTTATTGGATTTCTTTGTCAGTGTCCCTCATATCACTGGACTAGATGCATTTCAATAAAGTGAACTTTAAAGTGACCCACTTTCCCATTAGCTTCTATTGAAATATCAAAGAAACAATCTCATCCAAAAGACCGAGTTGGAAAACCTTGCTGATGGGAATGCCTGCCACAGTCTGAGAATTTTATGCCACTCCAATATATATTCCTTCCTTATAGTGTTAGTCTTTTCCTGCTTTTCTTATTTTCCACATCTACTATTTCTGTTCTCTGGTGCCACTTGAGATTTTCTCAGAGAGTCTAGAGTTTGACAAAAAAGACTCCTGAAATATTCTTTTTTTCTTTTATGTGAGTAGACGAGCAAATAGAGCTTAACTGTAGTATCCCTCTTTACCAGTAGGTGACAGTTCCACAGCTTGACTCATCTATGCTGGTGGTGGTGCACAACACTGGCTATGCTCATGTTTTCTCCTCCATGGCCTCTGACTTGAGGCTGCATTATGAGGTATAAAATCTTGATCTCTGTAAGTTCAGGGAAATTGATATTTGATAATTCCAAGTTTGCTTCAGACTGGTGACACCTCCCTATCCTGGTGTCACCTTGTCAGGTGACAAGGCCAGCATAAGGATTCAGGCCATGATGTGCTATGCTGACTTGATATTTGTGGAATAACAGTTGGTCTTATTGGTTGAGTAGCCTCACTGTGCCAGGCATTGTTCTGGGCACTTGAATCCAGTTGATGTTCATCACCCCCTGTGAGGTAGCAGTACCATTTCCATTTTGTAGATGAGGGAACTGAGAGTCAGAAGGTGAGAGGGGTCCAGGGCACATGGCAAGTATTTGGCAAACCCAGAATTTGAACCCAGATGTGTCTGACTCCAGAGAGTCTATTTTCTTCTTTCAATTATTCGAGGAAAGAAGACTGTAAAAGTGACTACAAATTTAAAGATCTTTGTTAGTAAGTCTTTAGAACAGATCCTTTGACCAAATAAATCCCCCTAAACTAAATCCTGATTGTAGATAAATGAACAAACTATGTTCATTAACTTCTATATTTGCATCCTTCTCTTTTATTGAGTGATGCTTGTGCATTGACTTTCTCCTTAGCTCGCCTAAATATTCTTCACCAAACTGTTTCCCAAATTTATTCTCTAAATATCCTTGTCAGTCTACAGACATCCTTAAATGAGGTTTCCACTTTTGCTATAAACATCATGACTAATCAGTCTCCTATGTCTCTTACTGGCTGTGTCTACTCCCAAGATGCTGTGGTAATTATATTCATACTTAGAACTTATTGTGCACCTACTATGTACCAAGTACTATGCCCAACATGACTTTTTTCCTCACAACCACACTGATAGGGTTCTATATCATTATTTGATGGATAAAGAGACCAAAGCATAAAGAAGTAAGGTAACTTGCACAAGGTCCCAAACATAGTAAATGGCCTGGATTCAAAACTAGATCTCACTCTAAAGTTCTTTTGGATGATCTGAACTGCTCCTCTATTTTAATGACTGAACACTGAAAGGTGGTGTAAGAAAAACAAAGAATTAATTTGGCTTAACTGGGTTTGACAACCATTTGTTTAAAATGCTGCTTTCCTAAAATGCAACCTTTTCCTGGAATGTATCATTTGGTTCACTTGGATCAGCTGGTAAAGAATCTGCCTGCAATGCAGGAGACCTGGGGTTGATCCCTCGGTTGGGAAGATCCCCTGGAAAAGGGCATGGCAGCTTACTCCAGTATTCTGGCCTGGAGAATTACATAGACTGTATAGTCCATGGGGTCACAAAGAGTCAGATATGACTGAAGACTTTCACTTAAACACTTAAACTTACCATGTTTCCTACCAGAAGCTCACCAGTCTGGTACATTACTGTCACTGCATAGCTCACTGCTTGATGCCTTTGTACAATCATCCCTCTCTCTGATCTCTGCTTGCATATCTCCAGTAATGGGGTGCTCACCACCCCTTAGTACAACCCAACCCATCTTTGGATAGTGCTTTAAGAAAGTTCCCTGTTATACTAACCTGACATTTGTCATCCCATAGCTTCCGTTCACTGTTAGTAGCTCTGGAAAAGCCCTTTGGGCGATATCAGCATTTCAAAGCTCTTCCTAACCATCTTTATGCAGGTCTAGGCCACCCAATCAGGTTTGAGTTTGGTCACATACATTTTTTTTTTTTCATGTTTAAGTCATGGAAAATCCCAGGCTTATACAAGAGTTCACATTGCAGCCACATTTCATTCCCCAAGTTTCTCCTTCCTTTTTTCTCCTTGGAGATAATTTTTACAACTTCATGCACTGTTGCAACTTAATATAGACTTAGAACAAGGGCTTCAGTGCCAGATTGCCCAAATTTGAGTTCCCCAATCCAACCAGTCCATCCTAAAGGAGATCAGTCCTGGGTGTTCATTGGAAGGACTGATGCTGAAGCTGAAACTCCAATACTTTGGCCACCTCATGCGAAGAGTTGACTCATTGGAAAAGACCCTGATGCTGGGAGGGATTGGGGGCAGGAGGAGAAGGGGATGGCAGAGGATGAGATGGCTGGATGGCATAACCGACTCGATGGACATGAGTTTGAGTAAACTCCAGGAGTTGGTGATGGACAGGGAGGCCTGGCGTGCTGCGATTCATGGGGTCGCAAAGAGTCGGACACGACTGAGCGACTGAACTGAACTGAACTGAACTGAACTGATCTCACTTACTAATTGACTTTGGGTCAGTTACTTAGCCTCTCTGTGCCTTGCTTTCCTCATCAGTAAGACAGAGATAATAAGCTATAAGATACAAAATACTTAGCTCATAGGAATGCAGAGATAATTAAATGAGTTAAAATATGCAAGGTGTGTTTAGAACAGTGGTTGGCACGTTGGCACTTGATAATCACTATCTGTAGTTACTCACATTATTATCTTTAAAACTTAAAGTGGACCCCTGGTCCCCTGCTCAATTCCAACCACGTTTCCTGGTAGTGTCTGATGCCACCAACACCAGCTGCCTCCAGCTTGGCTCTGACATCACAGCTGGTTGTAAGACAGAAGGCATCCATCAACCTGAGGGAGGCCTCTTGGTCATTCCATGGATGGCCCAGATGGCAGGCTGAGATCGAAGTTAAAACAGCATGCTCTGAAAACCCATGAATATTGCATAAAATCAGATACCTTCTGCCAAAGCAGCAGACCATACCCTCACTTGGTTTCCACTCCCCATCTCCAATTCTGAAGAGATTGTTCAGGGTCACTGAATCATTGAAATTGACCCTGGAATGAATCTCTAAGATAGTCTAATCTTGACTCGGAGCCTCAGAGAGGTGAAGTAGTCCACCTAAGGTTGGCTCAGCATGCAGTGGCCTACATGATGCTAGAACTCAGATTCCTTGATTTCCAATCAGCTACTTTTCTGTTCAGCCTCTTGTAGGATCAGGTGTGGTGGCTGAAGCAGGGACTTCAGTCCTTAGGTTGTCCCAGCACCAGGAGACACAGTTGCTGCTCCTACTGGCTGTAAACAGGGCATTTCCTCCTGACCTTAATGAAATGGCATGAAGTAGGATGAGAATATCACTACCGGCCCCAGCCTCCAGCCCCCAGCCCAGCATCACTGCTCCCTATTAAAGGTGCACCCACTCCTGCCACCATCAGAGGATCTAGGGGACAGGTTATCCAGCCAGCTCTTAACACCAAGGCCTATAACGCATGGGGAGAATGGGTTTCCTAAAATGCTCACCCCCCCAGACACATGCCCATCAGTGGGCAGCACAGCCTCTCTCTGTCCAACTCTGGCAACAGTGTGGGGTGGAGTCAGGACCTTCAGGAGACCAGCTTTCTGCTTCTAGAAATGCCCTTGACTTGCTCTGTGGCCTTGACATTCTGATGTATAAAGGAGAATTGGGTCAGTTAATCTTCAAAGGTGAAGTCTTCATTTCTGTATGCAGGATTCCTCACATGCCTTCTCTGAGGTTGGCATGACCCGGGAGACCAAGATGAGGACCTGTACCCAGAAGCCCCTAGACTAGTGTGAAAAAAGAGAGGAAACACAGCTCTCGTGGGAAGGCCTGGTCTTCCCCTGAGAAAGGCCTGGGAGAGTCCCGGTTCTGACTTCACCTCTGGGGATTCGTTTCCCTTCTTATGTAAAGTGGGGCTAGTAGCACCTCGTCACCGGGTAAGGGGAGGATGAAGTGAGCCACTGTGAAGCGTGGGCATCATTCCATGACGACGTGTTAACCAGCCGTGATTTTGTCTTTCCTGCGGTGGGCCAGGTTCGCCTCCCTTCGCTGGTTTCCCCGGAAGGACAGAAAGAGATAGCTAGAGTGGAGAAAGAAGAGGAGAAGAGAGGGAAGCCGGAGGAGGATGCTCCCGCCTCCAAGAGAGGGGAGCCTGCGAGGATCAAAATCTTCGAAGGAGGGTAAGAATTATGTTTGGTTTGCAGTGTCTGCTCTCCATGCAGTAAGCGCTCGCGCCTGCGTTCAGAACGGTGGTCTGTGTTCAGAGGTGGTGAGCATCTCATTGGGCAAGGCTGTGCCCACAGGAGCCCTGGGCTTCCCGCCTTCCAGGAAGTGCCATCTTTGTGGGACTTGCTGTCCACCTCTGTTGAGGAACATTGGCTCCTTGGTGGGGGGGTGGGGGACATCAGGTGTATGCTGGGGACTGGAGCTGCCTGGGTTTTCCCCCAGCCCCTCTTGCCTCAGATGCTGGCTGGGTTCCTAGACCCCACATTGGGGTTGATAGTGACCCTCCCGGGTCCTATGCAGACTGCCGTCTGCCTTGGTGCGTGTTCTGCAGAAGTCACCTCTGTCCTGCCGAAGCAGCCACGGCGACAGGTCTGTGTCCCATGGGCTCTGCCAGCTGGGCTGTTTCCAGGGTTGATTGTACACTGCACTCGTCGGTCTCTGGGTCTCTTCTCGGACTGGCCGGGTCCAGGGCTCACCAGTTGGTAAACATTTGCACTCATCGGTCTCTGGGTCTCTTCTCGGGCTGGCCGGGTCCAGGGCTCACCAGTTGGTAAACATTTAGAGTAACACTCCCGGTTTTTCACCTTTGGTGCTTTGTGTTTGCAAACCTAATGACTGAGACGTCTCAGAACCCTCAGCTGTGGGGCTCTCAGGGCTCCCAGCAGGGTGCCTGCTTCCGGGCCTGCTCTGTGGACGTGTCGTGCGAGCTGTGTTCTGTGTGACCACGTGTGTGCTCCCTGGGCTGTGGGCGTCTGTACGCAGGTCCCGTGGTGTCTGTCTCAGGGTCCTTTGTCTGTGTCCCCCGTGTAACCAATGAAGTCCTCTTCCTACCCAGTCCTGAGGGATAACGGCATGGAGGAAAACCTGCCTCCCAGGGAGGAGGGTCCCCAGGAACCCGTGTCCTCAGGAACATGGAATGTCACTGGGGCCTACAGTCCTCCAGCACTTGCAGGTGCCCAACTCACAAGGTCAAAGTAGGAGGTGCCGGGTTCCTCTGGAGCACTGGGAGAGGAGGCAGTGCCCAGCTCCCGAGGTCACTGGAGGGCATCCTTTGCTACTGACCTGCAGGGTCTCCCAGGAGAAGGGGTGTTTGAAAACTGAACTTGGGGACTTGTGTTGTCACAGCAATAGGGAGGGGAGTCAGGGATGGCAAGCGTCCTGCAGTGGCAAGGACACGTCCCCAGAGGGGAGAAATATCTTGTCCAGAGTTCCCGTAACTGCTCCATTGAGAAACACTAGACCAGCGGGTTTTCAAAACACTGTCTTTCCACCTGGGGACTGGCAGGTTTCCTCTTCTGCTACTTGGTTAGAGCGCCCCCGTGTGTCTCTGTGTTCACACATCATCAGATCCTCCAAAGGCCACATAAGACTTCACCCCAGGATTGGTGGATCAGTCACAGCCTTCTCCCCGCAACTTCAAGGACCATCTGTGGGGTCCCAAGGGCGGCTGAATGTCAGCTGGTGTGAACAAAGGGGTTTGCTTCTGCCATGAGAGGCAACAGTCCCCAGACTGGAAATCTGGTTCCCCGAGGCTGCTCCCTGCTGCCCTTGTTCCCCCGGAAGCCTGCGCCCCGAAAAGGCAGCTGGCAGGAGCTTCTCCCCAGCCCAGTTAGTTCACAGCTCCAGTGGCCTCCCAGAGTCTCTGCCACACGGTCTACCTTCAGCTGAGAGGTGAAGGCCACGTCTGAGTCCTCTTCTGCTCTTCCTGCGGTCTGGCCAGGGGTCCCCATTCTAACCCGCCCCCACCATTCCATCCAGGTCATCAGTTAGTCCTGTCTGCTCTGTTCAGAATCCCCCTGTCTTGCCAGGTCCAGCATCCCTGCCCCAGAGTGGCTCTCCCACTAACCAGTTCCACTGGGACAGTCCCCTCACCTCTCTAGCTCTGCCTCCCATCTGCAAAAGGGGATAATTACATACTTTGTGGGTTGCTGGGGTATCCTGTGCTGCCCTGGGTAAAGACCAGCACAGTTCATGGTCCACAAATGGGTATCGGAGTATTTTTTCATTTTTGTGTCCATCGTTTTGATCCCCTCCAGAATAATCTCACCCTGTCGACTGTGAAGAACATCACCCGCGCTCTCTCCACTTGTCACATCTAATTTCAGCACTTTGGTAGGGGAAATGGGGTTATGTAATGCCACCAGTCAGGTCATCTTCTCCCACAGCCCCACTGTCCCATCTGGGCCCCCACTGTACCTCCCACCCTCGCTTCTGGTGACCCCTCAATATTTACGGTTCTTTGGGGGCTGGTGTCACCTCCAGGAGAGTTTGCAAATGTGGACTTGAAAGTGTGGGGTTGTCACAGAACTTATGAGTGCTCCATACCAGAAGATAACCAGAGCCAAGAAGGTCAATTGTGATCCTGCTTTCAAGGAGGCTGGCTCAGGGGTAGCAGAAGGCCTGGTGCCGAGGTGTGGACCGTCAGTGTTCAGGTGCTCAGAGCAGGCAGGGACCCTTGGGCCCAGAGTAACCAGAGAGGGCTTCCTGGAGGAGGTAGGCTAGGCCTAGAGGGTGTGAGACCAGGACAGGCAGAGAGGAAAGGTGAGTCAGTCGGCAGTCTGGTTGTCCTAGTGACTCATGCTCCTAGTTAGTCGGACTAGTTTCCTGTGACCTTGAGTGGTCTCCCTGGCCAGTGTTGTCCGCCTCCTTGGCTAGACTTCGTCCCTGCACCAAGGCTACAAAATCTGAATCTCCAGCTAGGACCTTACTCCTGAACTGTAGACCATTGCTTCTGATGCCTCATGGGCACCTCTGCCTGCAAGACTAGGGCACCTCAAACTCAGTATGTGCTGACCAAGCTCTACAGTTACCACCAACAGCTTCTCCTTCCACCTTGGGAACCAGATCCTTAGGCCCGAAACAGCTCTGTCTCACCTCCATTAGTAAATCCTGTCAACTCACCCTGTGAAACCATATCCAGAAACTGCCCATTTCTCCCACGTCTCAGCTCAGACCACTGCTGAGTTTCATCTGGATCATCACAGTCTCCTGCTAGAATCTCCCTTCCATTCTCACCCACTATCATGTATTCTTAACCCAGCAGCCAGAGCGATCCCGTTCCTGCCACTCCCACTCTGCACCCTCCACAGCCCTCCAGTAGCCTGTGTGTGCTAGCCCCAGGTCCTCCCTGACCTCTGCCTGCCCCTCTACCCCTTGCTTCTCCTTTTTCTTTTAAAAATGTCTTTAAAAATTTTTTTTATTTATGTATTTATGGACTGAGCTTGGTCTTCACATGAGCTTTCACTAGTTATAGCAAGCGGGGGCTACTCTCTAGTTGCAGTACTTAGGCTTCTCACTGTGGTGGCCTCTCTTGTTACGGCTCACGGGCTCTAGAGTGCAGGTTCAGTAGTTGTGGTGAATAGGCTGAGTTGCCTCAGCGCATGTGGAATCTTCCCAGACCAGGGACTGAACCTGTGTCCCCTGCATTGACAGGTTCCTACCCCTTGCTTACTGTGCTCCAGCCAAGGATCTCTTTGTCTGACCTGCTGCTACCTTAGGGCCTTTGCACTTGCTGCACCCTCTGCCTTGAACACTTTTTTCAGAGTCCCACAGCTCGCTCACTTCCTTCAGTCACCCTTCAGAGAAGCCTTACCAGATCATCTTCCCCTGTGTACCCTCCTCTAGCATTTCTTATCCAGCTTCCCTTCCCTGCTTTATTTTTCCCCAGTCACTAGTTTCTTCTGTCTCCCCCTCCAGAACATACACCCTGTGAGAGGACAGGAATTGTGCTTTATTCATTGCTGTATCCCCAGTGCTGAAAATGGTGACTGGCATGAGGGCAGCGCTGGTGAATGTTTATTAACTAAAGGAATCTCCCTTTACCTGAGACCTCAGGTGAGGGGCTGTGTCCCTGAAGTCAGCAGCTCTTAGAATCCATGAGCAGTGGAGGCTCTGGGTCTCAGGAAGGAGGAAAGACAGAGTCAGGGCCAACCCACCAACCTGAAGTCAGACTTGGCCTGGGAAGGTGAAGTCAGGTGGTTTCGGCTATGGGGCAAGTACCTGGGGCTGGGAGCCAAGGTTGTCTGCTTGCTGTCCTGCCCTGCAGGTGTTACAGATAAAAATGAAACAGGATTCCAAGAAGGGCTGGCTCATGGGTTACCAGCTCTTTGGCCAGTGCCTGCTCTGAGTAGATCCCTTGTGTCCTGGGGGCCAGAGAGGAGTGGTCCTGGGCACCCAACTCTGGAGACAGGCTGCTGTCCTTCCTGGGTGAGTCTAGGCTATCAGGACCATGTCTTCTTTCTGACTCAGTGCCTTGATCTCTCTTGAATTCTCAGGCTTCTCCCTGGAGTGTAGATACGCAGCTTTGAGTGTGGCCCCTGTGGGCCAGGAGCAAGTTGTCCAGCTCCTATCACATGTGCCCACACTGGGTTTTGTTCTCTTTCTATTTCTCCCAAACCCTGTTGTTCCATCTCTCCTAGGGAATATGACCTGGGCTTTTGTGGATGCAGAGGAGGGTGGGATATTGCAAAGTACAGGTGTGACATTCAATGGCCCAGACCAGGGAGATGGTGGTGGATATGGGGGTGGAGCTAGAGGATATCTGGTGAATTGAATACAAAGGGTGAAGATGAGAAGCTTGGAATGGAGAAAGACTGCCACGTTTCTGGCTCAAGGATATTTGAAGCCGCCATTTACGGAGATGGCCAGGGGTGGAAAGGAGACTAAGAATGAGGTTTGGGGAAGGAGAGACCAAAGCTTGGTGGACAGTGTTCACTTTGAGATGGCAGTCAGACATCCAAGTGTTCAGGAAGTCATGTGGCAATTGGATATCTGAACCTGGCCTTCAGAAGACAGGAAAGATACATTTGAGATGTGCATAGATATATGTAGATATGCACATTTTTCAGTGCATAGATGCTATTTAGGATGATGTGACCGGATCGCAGATCTCTTAGGGAGATGGAGAGAAAAGAATAAGGCATCCAGGACGGAGCCAGGATATGCCAGAGGACAG